AGTTTGTGGTTGAGGTAGACGCCTCCAACGAAGGGATTGGGGCAGTCCTCTCACAGCGGTCGGAGCAGGATGGTAAAATGCATCCCTGCGCCTTCCTGTCACAGCGGCTGTCCAAAGCAGAACGCAATTATGATGTTGTAACCCGGGAACTGCTGGCGGTCAAAGGTGGACCTGGAGAAGTGGCGACACTGGCTTGAGGGGGCTAACCCACCCATTCATTGTCTGGACTGATCGCAAGAACCTTGAATACATTAAAAAAGCCAAAAGACTGAATTCTCGCCAGGCCAGGTGGGCGCTTTTCTTTAACCGGTTTTCCTTTTCCCTTTCCTACAGGCCGGGGTCCCGCAACATCAAGCCCGACGCCTTGTCTCGACTCTTCGACCCCGAGCCTGTTGCCAAAGAACCAGAAACCATCCTTCCACTAACCTGTGTGGTTGGAGCAGTGACTTGGCAGATAGAAAATGAGGTAAAGCAGGCTAATGGTGAGACCCCACCACCTAGTGGGTGCCCCGCAACTCGGTTGTTCGTTCCGGTTGAGTTACGCCCACAGGTGATCCACTGGGCCCACACCTCACTGCTTTGTTGCCATCCGGGAGTTCGGAGGACGATGTTCGTCATCTCCCGGAGATTCTGGTGGCCAGCCATGGAGCCGGAGGTCCGGGAGTACGTTGAGGCATGTTCGGTCTGCGCCCGAAACAAGACTTCTTCTACGTCACGCATGGGACTCTTACAGCCACTACCCATCCCCTCCAGACCGTGGTCAGACATCTCTATGGACTTTGTCACGGGGCTCCCGGTTTCACAAGGTAACACCACTGTCCTCACAGTTGTGGATAGATTTTCTAAGATGGCTAGATTCATTGCTCTGCCAAAACTACCCTCCGCCAAGAAAACGGCGGAGGTAATGATGGACAATGTTTTTAAGATCCACGGCTTCCCCAAGGACATAGTTTCGGACCGGGGGCCCCAATTTGTTTCCCGGTTCTGGAGGGCCTTTTGTCGGCTCATCGGAGCGAAGGCCAGCCTGACCTCGGGATATCACCCAGAGGCCAACGGCCAGACCGAACGCCTCAACCAGCAACTGGAAACCAGCCTCCGGTGTCTGGTGGCCCAGGATCCCTCAACATGGAGCAAGAACCTGGTCTGGGCCGAGTATGCCCACAATTCATTGCCTACCTCAGCCACTAGTTTCCCACCATTTCAATGTGTGTTTGGTTACCTCCCCCCCGTGTTTGCAGACAATGAACCGGAGGTGTCTGTGCCCTCCGCTCTTGCAATGATTCGTCGCTGCCGTCGCATCTGGGCAGCCGCCCGGCAGGTGCTGATTCGCCAAAGGGACAGAGTAAAGAAGGCTGCAGACCGCAAGAGACGACCCGCCCCTGCCTACCAGCAAGGTCAGAAAGTGTGGTTGTCAGCTAAGAACCTCAACCTCAAGGTGCCTTCAAGGAAGCTGGCTCCACGGTTCGTGGGCCCGTTCCCCATCACTAAGACCATCGGCCCTGTGGCGGTCCGTCTTCGCCTGCCTCGATCCCTTCGTGCTCACCCCACCTTCCACGTCAGCCAGGTCAAGCCTGCGAAAGAGAGCCCGATGGTCCCTGCTGCTGCACCCCCGCCACAACCAGAAGTTATAGACGGCGGTCCGGTGTATAAGGTCAAGCAGTTGTTGGCGGTACGCACTCGGGGCCGGGGTAGACAGTACCAGGTAGACTGGGAAGGATATGGACCGGAGGCGAGACAGTGGATCCCATTGCCCATTGTGTACCACCGTGCGTTCACCCAAACCTCGCCACAGCCACAGGATTTGTTTATACCATTGCCTTGCCTCGGAATGATTACCCCTTTTTGTTTTTCCTCTGAGTAAGAGTGACCTTTAGTTTGAGCTTCTTAGATTTAGTTTTAGCGCGCTTTCGAAGCCGTTCGTTTTCCTCGTTTAAGAGAGATTTTTGTTTGTTAACCTTCGTCGGAAACGCTGATAGCTCATAGCCGTTTGTTTGTTCTTTCACGACGCGAATAAAGACGCCAAACCCTCTGCATCGGAGTCCTCATTTTAATCTGGTCCTGACACCCTCGTGCTGCACTGGGACACTCTGACCACGTCATGGTCCATCTGATTCCTGCATACAGGCAGAAACTAAAGCTCTGCAAACCTGTGGTGAGGGAATTCAAGAAGTGGACCAGTGAGGCGCTGGAGGATCTTCAGCGTGCTTTGACTGCACAGACTGGGATGTTTTCAGCTACTGACAGTCTGGATGAGTTAACAGAGGCTGTAACTTCCTACATCGGCTTCTGTGAGGACAGCTGTGTACCATCCTGCACCAGGGTGAGTTACACAACGACAAACCTGGTTCACAGCAGAGCTCAGAACACTACGCCTGCCGAAGGATCAGGCATTTAGGACTGGGGACAAAGACTTGTACACAGAGGCAAAATACAAGTTCAGCAAGGCGGTGAGAGACGCTAAACGACTGTACTCTGAGAAACTCCAACAACAGTTTTCAGCAAGTGACTCGGAGTGTTTCGGTTTGGAGAGGCCTCAAACACCTCACTAATGTAATGGGAAAATGATATGTGACCCTTTTAAATTCTTCATTTGTATAACCAGTTTATTAGTTGCAAGTGGTTAGGTCACAAAGGCCCTGACATAAGAACTGATGTCTCCCACTTGGATTAGATGGTTCCAGCGTCATAGCTGTAGAGATTGAACAAAGTGTTTGTTATGTCTATGACCACCTTTGTTTTAGCATGTTGGGAGAGCACACAGACACAGGGCGCCAGTTGCCGATGTCCTGTAGGTTCCCCTTCTTCGGCAGTAGCGTTATGACCGCTCTGCGGCAGGACATCGGCATGGAACCAGAGCCAGACTCTCATAAAAACCTCCAGGACATCAGGTGCAAATATATCCCAGAATGCCTTAAAAATTCTGCGGGGAGGCCATCGATGCCAGGAGCACGCCGTCCCTGCATGCCCAGCAAGGCGCCCTTCAGCTCCTGCACCGTTATGGGTCTGCTGAGCGCTTTGTTGGTCTCCTCAGAGACTTGAGGTAGCCCGCTCACGAACTCCTCCGTCAGTGCTTCCTCCTCCCTGTACTCACTGGTGTAGAGGGAAGAGTGAAAGCTGACCGCTCGCCTCCTAATCTGGCATGGTTCCACCACCGGCAACCCTGTGTCTGCCAACAGCGCGTGGATCACCCTCCCCTGCCTGGACTTCACGCTCCCGTGACCCACCAACCCCCCCACGGCCAGACCGCAGTCCTCCACGGAGCACCCGAAGCCCGGCGCGAGCTTCACGCCGTGCTTCCGCGTCAGCCCCGTGAGGTCCGACATGCCGACCGGCTACAAAAACGCACAAACTAACACAGAAAGAGACCGAAGACGCACATACACACCAGCACGCATTCACCCCACAACACACACCAGAAACCACACCGAAAATAAACGAAATAACAGATAGAAAACACATCCAAACAATTCACCTCACGCTTCTTCCGCTCAGAGAGAGAGAGACAGAGAGAGAGATTTGATTTTGATAAACCTTTATTTTCTTATAAAAAACAAACACAAACAAGAATATTGCCTGATGACATTGAGGTCCGAGCAATACACAGAAGAACGCCATGATCTCCTCTCAGCCAGTCCACACCAGGCTCCTCTGCAGCATCAACGCACACCGCCCACTCCGCCGATGAACTGGTAGTCCATCTGGTCACTGGCTCCTCCCCTCCGCCGGTACTCCACTCAGTCCCCAGCAGCCCTCTCGTTGCCATTGTTGATCTTCTGGACAATCTTTCGCAGCCGGAAGACCTTCTGCTGCGTGTATCGGGAACTGCCTCGTTTGCTCGCACCCTCCCGAGCAGTACGACCGAATTTCTCCATATCCGGAAAGTAGTCCTCCAGCTTAATCCCCTTCATGTTCTTGGTGGTCTTCAGGAAGAGTTTCACCCTCCCCACGCTGTACCGATTGGTGGCCGTCCCGCCAGAGGAGACGCTGTCCGCAGAAGACTCCGCTCCTGCTGCGCCTCCTCCCTCTGTCTCTCTGTTCCCTGACCCCTTCTTGGCCTGAGAGCCCCCTCTGCTCTCTGTCTTTCTCTTCAGGCGGAGGACTTTCAACGCCTCTTCTTCTCCCTCCATGTCCATGTCGCTGTCCATGGACAGGGTCCCTTCAATGTAGGTCCCCAAACCCGTTCCCGGCTCCTCTTGCCTCCCTTCACCCCCTTGACCCACCTGCTGGACCCCACTCGCCCCTTCATTCACTCCGTCACTCGCCTGCCCCACCTGCTGGACCCCACTCGCCCCTTCTTCCATCCCTACGCCCCCTTGACCCACCTGCTGGACCCCACTCGCCCCTTCTTCCATCCCTACGCCCCCTTGACCCACCTGCTGGGCCCCACTCACCCCTTCATTCACTCCGTCACTCGCCTGTCCCACCTGCTGGGCCCCACTCACCCCTTCATTCGCTGCGTCACCCGCCTGCCCCACCTGCTGGGCCCCACCCGTGTCTTCATTTACCCCGTCAGTCCCTCTCTCCACCAGCTGGACCCAGCTGGACCTGGAGAGTCACGTCTTTGTGTGTGGAAGTCGCTGGTGGCTTTATTTGTTGATCATAGACTTTATTGCCCCGTGCATCCACACTGCTGCTTTTCATCAAGGACACATTTGTCCCGTATTTTCCTCCACGACTTTGTTCCCTCGTTTGTGGAGATCTCCCTCCATGAATCAGAGGCCATCCGGCGTCCTCATAGTCCGCCAATGACGGCTCATATTTACGCATTTCTTCCCACAAAAGCTCTTCAGTCTGATCCGTTACCCTGGACCAAGACGTCGGAGCCCAAAGTGTAGCTGCAGATGAACACACACTGCGTTACGCCGCGTATCACACAGTGTGTTATGAGTCTGCTGCAAGGGGCCCTTTGTTTCCTTCTACTGCGCCTCGCCAGTACTCATCTGTGATTGGACGCCTTCTCCTTCCAGCTTTTCTCCTCCCTCCACTGCGGGAGATTCTGACTCTTGACTTGTTGTTGTTGTTTTCTCTGGGGGGGGTTGTCTGCATAGTCTGTCAATCATGAATTAGTCGACATCTCATCACTATTAGATTGGATTGGTTTTTCAGGCAGGTGAGGGAGGAAAATCCACTTTCGCAAAGATAAGTTGTTGCAAAGGGCAAAAGGCTCATCATTGCTTTTGGTTGTGGAAAGTCTTTGTGGCCAGAGATCCAGAACTGTGTGGTTTGGTTTGGTAAATGTTTCTGAACGTACGGTCAGTGGATAGTTGGATGAGCTGATCCTCCTCTGTCACTGTCAGGCGTGTGCCGTCTGCTGCGTTGTCTCTGGATGGAAACTGTCTCCAAGCCTTGTCCCTGCGCCGGGAGTCAGCCTCAGAAAAGTACTTCCCACATTGTCCTTCCAGCGCCTCCACAAGAACTGCGCGTGTTGCGGGAGGCGAGAGCACAGCAGAATCCCCCAGCTCATCCACTGACAGAAACATGGAAGATATTCCCTCCCCGATGAGAAAGCCTTCCATTCTGTCACACAGCTGATGCCGTGTGTATCACCACCTTGCATGGAACTGTTTAGTTGGTTCAACTCAGCGAAAACGTCAGCAAGATATGAAAGTTTGGTGACACATTGTCAGTGAAAAGTGCAGCGAGCTCTGTGCGCTTTTGGAAAAGTCAAAACTCCCCAATAGATTTGCGTAGTTCCCCGTGAAAGCCGTCGCCCCTCAGAATGGTCCAGTAGCCCAGTGTGTTCTTCTCCCTCAGCAGCACAGAGATTAGAGAACAGACGCCTTTGCAAAGCACTCTTCTTGACTATATTTACAACTTTACAACATAAGCAGAATGTTCAGGCTTCACGAGCAAATACAGAATCCCTTTGTGTTCATTTCCAAAGCCGCATTAAGACACACGTCACTTTATTTAATACGCTGCTTGCAAGTCGCTGTGTTGTGCCGGACTCTCAATCAAACATTTAGGACAAACCCATGAAGATGCTCATCTAACGTTACATGGACTCTGCGTGAGGAAGAGGAGGAGGAAGAGGAGGAGGCGAAAACCAACCGGGTGTCTGGATGCTAAATGTTTATATTCTCATCCAACCACAATCACACTCACTGTCCGCATAGCGACGTTTATCTGGATTTATCTCGTTTTTTTGTCTTTGTGTTGTTGAACTGCGACAAGCCGGAAGTAACGAGGCTGTTTTTAAAATGTGAGGAGTAGAAAGTACAGATATTTGCGTGAAAGTGTAAAGAGTAGAAGTAAAAAGTGGTCTGAAAAAGAAATACTGCAGTAAAGTATAGATACCCAACATGTCTACTTGAGTACAGTAACAAAGTATTTGTACTTGGTTACTTGACACCTCTGTTGATGATGCTAATGCATGAACCCATGAATCCTTTAACCCATATAATGGTTAATGTAAAACAGAAGGAGGTTTGTTTGGAATTGAACGCAGATGTGATGTGAATCCAGACGGGCTCGAGGCAGCAGCACAAATCCACCTCCTACTCCAACAGGGCTTCCACTGTTGAGGTCTAAAAAGCTGGATTTGTATGTCATCCTGCTGTGTGTGTGAGTGAGCGCAGGGAGGGAAGCTGCCTCCCTGTTTCTATAGAAACCAGTATTGTGTGATGGAACGCAGCGTTTGTGACGCGTAACCATGTGTGTGCTGTTCCATGTTGAAGTCCGGTCCTTCCTGGTCGTTTCAGGGCTGCAGAAGGTTCACTTGAAGGCCTTGGACGGGCAGCGGTACTCCACCCTGGAGAGGCAGTGCTTGCAGAGTGGCCTGCTCTTTGAGACCCCCGCTTCCCCGCCATCGACCACTCGCCGTCCCACCACGCCAACAGGATGGGACGCGTGGTGTGGAAGAGGCCT